GACCGTGTCCGCCGCGGAGCCCGGGGCGAGGGGGGCTGCCCGCGGGGAGCGCCTCCTCCCCGCTGCCGGGCGGAGGCCGAGGAGTCCCGGAGCCCGCCCAGGCGCAAGAGCGGCAGTTCTCCCGGGAGCCGACGGCGGACCCTCACGCTCACGCCAGCCCATGGCGAAACCAAAAGATCTCGCTCTTGGGGACAGTCGCACGAAGGCTTTGCGGAGCGCCTTCTGCACCGCCAGTGTCTGTCCCCTCGAGGGTGTGGGGCGGTGGTTCCCTCTGTGCGGGCCCCACTGCTAAGCACAAACCCCAGGGAGGAGACGAAGGTGCACATGGGTTAAGATGTGAGCCTGCGGCGAAACTGGAGCCGCTAGGATGACCGGGGCGGGGCAAAACCTGCTTCTGGGGCTTGAGGAGGCCTGATGGCTATTGTGTGGCGACCTTGATGTCAGCGCAGTGAGGACGCCCGCCAGAGACAAACCCCAGGGTGTGCTGGCAGGGCGTGTGGCTAGCCCGTCAGCGAGTGCGGCCCGGGTCGCCTTGGAAGCGTCCGGAGAGCGATCCCGATAGCCGGAGCGACCAGCACAGTCCAGGGCACGGTGGTCACGAGGGACCCTGCCCAGCCATCGCAGCTTGTAACTGATTCTTGGGACGGACGATGCCGACAATGGAGCGGTTGTGTTGTAGCAGCAAAGCGATCCAAAGCCCGGGGTGCGCGTTTCTTTATTCCCGAGCTTCGAGCCCTCTGTGTTCCCCGATTCCCTCCATCGGGGCTCACGTTCTCGGGGTGGCCCCAAGGGCTGTGCCGCGGAAGGTGCGTGCGCCCCCTGCGGACTCCTAGGGCCCGGCGCCCAGCAAGCGTCCGCGGTCCAGCCGGTGCAGAGAGGAAAGGGATGTTGGCTGCATCTTTGTTTTTAGAACATGGCTCTCCTGGTGATTTTCAAAATGATAACTATTTTGATAGGAAGAGGGTGTGAAGGAGGAAGAGAAGGACATCTAGTGGTTCCATCGAGGTCCCCAACCATGCTTGGGTGTTACCCCATTCGTGGAGA